ACTAGCTTTGTCTCTACACAAACATGGCAGGAAGGGAAGACTGAAAGCTCCCTCCCTGTGAACATTTTCACTGCATATGCAGACCCCAGAGGGCAGAGGTAGTGTGTGGCCACACATCACTGCTCTGCTCATTCATGAGGAGAAAGCAAGAGTAAAAATGCTGAATAATACATTGACTTCAACTCTAGAGGAGTAAGTATGTAGAGAGATCTTGTAGCACCTTTGAGACTAACTGAAAGAAAGAAGTTGGCAGCATGAGCTTTCATAGACTTCAGTCTACTTCCTCAGATGCATGAATGCATGATCTACTCCCTAGAGGAGTAGAATTCTACCCCTAGAGGAGTAGGTTTTTAAACCCAATAATGTATACTTTATGTGTAGAGAGTTCTTGTAGCACCTTTGAGACTAAGGGGGGTTGCAGATTGCCAGAAATAGTGCAAATTGAGTCCACTTATAGGGTTAGGGTTAGGGAATCATGGAAACTGTAGTTTATTGTGGCACCAGAGATCTCTGACAGAGAAGGTTCAATGTCTCAGATAAAAAACAATTCCCATGATTCCCTAGCACTGAGCCAGGACAGTTAAAGTGGCCTCAATTTGTATTATTTCTGGCAGTCTGCAACCCCCCTAACTAAAGAAAGAAACTGGCAGCATGAGCTTTCAGCATGAGTCTACTTCCTCAGATGCATATGGTCTTGCTGCCAACTTCTTTCTTTAGTTAGTCTCAAAAGTGCTATGCTATAAGATCTCTCTACATACTAACACAGCTATATCTTGAATGTAAGTGAGTATGGAATCTGGCAACAGTTTGTCCTTTAGAAATTACCACCAGCTCTTACCATAAGATCTCTGATACATGAAGAAGCTAGGATGACTAAACTGAGGTTGTTGTACTTTGGCCATATAATGGGAAGACATAACTCTACAGAAAGGGTTATAATGCTTGGTAAAGTGCAAGGCTGTAGGAACACAAGAAGATTGCACTCTAGATGGATAGAATCAATCAGGGAAAATATAGCCATGAATCTGCAGGACCTGAGGACTCTACCTGAGGATAGGGTAACTTTGAGGCCTCTCATTCATGGGTTTGCCATGGGCTGAAGGTGACTTGAAGAGAGCGAACAACCAATTTTGTTCTCCTAACAATGCATTATCCAGAAAAACAAACTTCCACTGCTATTACAGGGCATAAAAATATTATTAATTTCAGATACTACAAGTTCAAAATGTCTCTTCTTTTTTAAAGACAATCTAACAATCCTACTTTATTTTGCAGGGAGGTGAGTTATCACAAGCCATATTTGCAATTTCTACATATGGTTGTAGAAGCTGGGTAATTAAGACAACAGACAGGAAATCAAGTCATCTGAAATGTAGTCCTAGGGGAGAGTTCTATGGATACAATGGTCTGCTAAAAAGACAAAATAATGGGTCTTAGGGGAAAACATGCTCTCTCCTCAGAAGTCACAATTACTAAACTGAGGCTATTTTATTTTGGGAATATAATGAGACAACATGGCTCATTGGAAATGGCTAATGCTTGGTAAAGTGGAAGACAAAACAACAAGTGGATCAATTAAATCACAGCCCTGAGCTTACAATACCTGAGCACGGTTATTGATGACCAGGGCTTTTGGAGGTCTCGTGTTCATAGAGTCAATATAAGTCAAAGTCAACTTGATGCACATAGGACTTTCTATGGGATTCCCACAGGACTGTGGACATACAATTATATTATGCAGGTGTAATTAATTATGGAGTAAAGTAAAAATATCAATCTGAAAACCAAAGTTAGGATTGTCTAAGCCATTGTATTTCTCATCACCATTTACAGATGTGAGAGCTGGATAGTGAAAAAAGCGGGTAGAAAGAAAAACAACTCATTTGAAATGTGGGAAAAATGCTAAGGATGCCATTGGTGGCAAAAAGAACAAACAAATGGGTCTTAGAACAGACCATGCCTGAGTTGTCTCTGGAAGCCAAGATGACTAAATTAAGTGTCATATTTCAGCCACAGAATGAGGAGATGGCTCACTAGAAAAGACAATAATGCTAGGAAAGGGGGGCAGTAGAAAGAGAGGAAGACCACACACCTGAGCGGGGCTGTTAAGGAGGAAGGGGGCTTGGAGGTGTCTCATTCACAGGATAGCCATGAGTCGAGGCTAACTCAAGGGCAGTTAACAACAACAAAGTAAAAATACAGAATGCATGTTCAAAGATGGGAATCATGCAACCTGTCAGATGGTCCTTCAACTGCCGGTCCCAACAGCCAAAGTCAGCATGGCTGATGGTGATGAATGCTGGGACCTGTACTCCAGTAATATTGGAGGGACATATGTTCCATACATGACTAGTGGGGAAGGGGCTTTTGAACCTAAGGGCTAACTTCTATTTCAGAAGTTGTTATTATATGTTTTCAGAGGCCATATTCTCGTGGCAAATGGATGGGAGCAAAAATGCCCACATATTATAACTTAGAAATTCTTCTCCTAGTAACAAAGTCTTAGGAAAAACATTTCAACTTTTGAGAATGGGGTATAGGGTGACATGCAAAAGCTGGGAAGCCATCAGGCTTTGTTGCAATGGGAAAGGGGCCATGGCCACCTGGAGAAGACAGAGAGTACTTATTTTGGATAAATAGTAGTACCTTCTTGCCAGCAGAGTGAACTCAGTTTAATACCTGGATTCCAGTATGCATAGGGATCTTATAGCATCTTTGAGACTAACTGCTACAAGATCCCTTTTATATTGATTTTCCAGACTAACATGGCTATGTGGATTTGTTTTTCTTGTAGCCATCCAAATTGGCTGTCATGCCATTGTATGCAGTGTTGGGGCAAGAAAAAAACAGTGGTAGTAATGGATGTCTTCC